GTTTTACATGAAGGCAAAAATGTTTAACGCTACATTTCAAATGTTACATATTTCTTTTGTGAGGTTGAATTCAGGCTAACTTTACAAATATGGGGGAGGGGATGCATTTACTGAATGCATGCAAAATATTGCAGTGGATGACAGAGGGAGCCAACATCAGCGGTATGCGTGGGCCTTTTTTTGGGATGAGGGCCACATGAAAGGCAAATGAATATAAATTCTGCTACTATGGAGCAGTGTGCTGTGTTCGTGGTACTGGTCTGCACACAGTAGCACTGACAGGGCCGTGGACTCAAACAGCATAATGCAAACAGAGCGGCCATTCATCAACCATTTAGGATTCTAACCCTCGTCCGCTTTGAAATCCGTGCCAAAACGCCAACTCAGAAAAACCAAGAGATGCCCACAGAGCGAGCCCACATCAAACACAGAGATCCATGGCCAACAGTTATTGATCCGGAGGTCTATTTTTTGCTGGTGGAAATCGTTGGTAACACGAACCAGTCCGATGTCGTGTTTCAAATTTCAGCTGGGGAGAAACGGGCAAAGGCTGCTTCAAATGAAGCCGCGGTAATACGTTCAACATCTCATGAATTATGAAAATAGTAGACACTTTAGAGCTCTCCTGTGCTCAACAGCTGTTTTTGAATCAGAGCACAGAGCAGTGTTAGCTGTTGCCATGGTAACTTTGGGATACACTAGAGTGTCCCCGTGAAGTGTCGGAAGTGGAAACGCTAAAAGTATCGACAGACAGACAGACAGACAGACAGACAGACAGACAGACAGACAGACAGACAGACAGACAGACTGTTTTTTGCTGTGGATACGAGACGTTGCCAGGTGGAAGGTGGAGAAAAACAAGGGTTAAAATGAGAAAACTTACTGAGTGTCAACTCTAAAGGTCAGGCCACAGAAGAATCCAACACATGACGACAAACAGCCTGAGAGTTTAAATATTATAGTGGCATAGTTACAATCCACAAAATGAATTGAATTGAATTTCAAAATAACAACGCCCCACTTTGTGCATATCAGAATGAGATTTTGTTACACCATAGTAATAGAAAATATAATTACTCTTATTTGTTTCTTTTACCCTACAGTCCTTGGTTTCGCTTGTTTAAACCCACTGAATAAATTAACAATGAGTCGTATTCATGCAGATTTTATATTTTAAAGTTATATTTAAGGAATTGAAAGAGCAACGTCTGGCAGGAAAAAAAAAGTTTTGACTTTTGTATTTGTATACACTGGGACTTTCCAGTGCTCAGACATGCAGACATGGATGGTTACCAGAAAGACTTAAAATTAAATTAAAAATAATCAGGGAGTTTTATGCCCCTCAATGTCTCAGTTTAAACTCCTCTCATTAAATAATAAATAAGTCTCCATTTGTGAAGATTGAAGGGGGGTTACAATGCAAACTTCAATATCTGAATGTTTTTTTTTTTTTTTTTTTTTTTTACTTCCATTCAGGTTTCTACTGTTTCTGCAAACACTTCAAGAAAAAAAGAGCATTTTACTGGGCAACAATTTATTGTTTTGTTAATATCTGCAAAGCAACAATAACAGAAATAAACAAATGAAAATGGTATGTCTTATCATTTCTTTAAACAAGAAAAAGGATAGTATTAATGATTATAATAATTGTTGTTTAATAGTTATTAAAGGACCACTCACATTTTTAATTTAAGAGTTTGTACAGAAAGGAGAGCTGTCATGTTGCAAAGGTTTTCTCAACCGTAATTACGGTGAAAAATAAAATGAAGAGACATGCACAAGGAATACGAAGTACAAAGCAACTGTAATGTGTAGTAATGAACAAGAAAAACAAGATCTAAGCCGAAATAAATAAGAAAATTATCAAAATACAGACAGTTGAAAACCAAACACCCTCATGATTTAAATATATATATATATATATAAAAATCACTTTCTTTGACCCATTTACAATAAATTTCACACTAAAATTTGCCAGAACATTCATATGGAATAACATTTTTTTTTGTTTTGTTTTGTTTCAACTATTTTACTAAGCACTCTGTGTCACAGGACCAAACACTCCTCTGGACCACACATTTAACCTACACGAAAGCGGGGGGCGCAGCACTGGACCATAAAATCCTTATGCCTAATAAAATTGGTGCAAATGTTCCCAAAACGCTCCCTCAGCCTTCTGTGCAGCGGCCCGATGTGGTTTATGACTCAGAAAATAAGAAGCAGCAGCACCTGCTCTCTGTGAAGGTGACATTAACTGGAAGATTGTAATACATTGATTTCCCACCTGTCACATGACGTTGGTGCCCTGTGATTGGCTGACAGGAGGGATGGCGGTGTTGTTTACAGACAGTTGTCATTAGGGGGCATCACCCACCATGGCCGCACCGGAAGCAGGACTGAGTCAGGATACATTTTCCCACTGCTGCGTCCTGACCGTCAACATTCACAATTAAACTCTGGGTGATTCTTTAAAATACCAACAAATAACAAAAAATAAAAAATAAAAAATACCAGTGAAAGTTAAGAATTTCGAGTCAGAAAGGGCAGCTCATGCTGTATTGAAGTGCTTGTTTCAGTTAAATTCGATGATTATGGCTTAAATCTGATCCAGTTATTCAGAAATGTGAATAATGACATAAGAGCAGTAAAAGGGTGACTTGTATCAGAGAAAAGTTATCCCACTAACAAGCCTATACATGTGCTGCATATTTGTTGCTTGAATTGTGGGTTTGGGAGTCTCTTATTTTCCTCTTGTCCATATTTCACAGGTTCTCTGCGGGGTTCAAGTCAGCTGAGTTTTATGCTGGTTAAACCCAGAAACAATACTGAAGTCATCAAAGCAGATATCGCTAACTTAGTCAGTATGGGGAGCCACCAAGCCCTGCTGCAAAACTAAATGTAACATCTCCGTAATGCTTGTCAGCAGAAGGGCTCTAATGTTTCCTGGTAGGTGGCTGCTCTGACGCTGGACAACGGACTGTCACCAGAATACGACATGCCTCTGTCTGGGGAACCTTCATAATGGACTTCAGGCAACTTGGATTATGTGCGGCATGCTCAACTTTCTAATAATATGCTTGGATATAACACTCTGCACAGCTAGCTGCTTTAGTTAGGAACTTTTATGGCTTACCTTCCTTGTGGTGTGTGTCAGTGAGGGTCTGCTGGAGAACTGTTAGGTTAACAGTCTTACCCCATGGTTGTGAATGCAATAACTTTATATTTCTGTAGAAGCAATGCTTTTTTTTTTTTTTTTTTTTACTCGTCTCATGTTATATTCTCATATTCTGAACTTTGGGTTTTCATTAGCTGTATGCTGCAATCATCAAACATTAATAAATGCTTCCTGTGTGTAATAATTTCTATTCTACTGCATAGGAGTTTCAGTTTATTGAATTTGTGAACTAAATGAATGTTCCTCCTGAGATGCCTGGGCGTCATGGACGATCATGTGAGTTATGCGGGGCAGCTTACATGTAACTTCCATTGACTTTGACAATTTAAAATCAAATCCTGGAAAAAGAAGATTAAAACAAACCCTCATTAAGCAGCTGTAATGTCTTGAACAGTTTGAACAGATCAGGATGTGGAACAAAGAAACTCAGTTCTCTTTGTATTTCAAGCACACAGAAGATCCCTTCAACAAAACCCGCCGAGACAAACCAGAACAGCTGCTTCTATCTGCAGGTGAGCTCATTAAACAACACAGCATAGCTTCCCACCACAGGCCGTGTCTTCCTGCAAGGCTGTTTGTACAGTTGAGAATATGTATGTAGATGATTCACCGTAACAGGATATAACCCCCATCTGCCTTCATAAAGCTTTAACGGACATTGCTTCTAAGTTATTCATTGTTGGTGGTTTGCAGGCAGCCTGCAGTCAGACTTAGACTTTTGTGTTTATAATTGTGAGAAGTCTGAACATATGGCTACATCATAGGTCTCTTTAAAATGTGAAATTCATATTGATTCTTCGGGTAATCCTGCTGTAAGGCCAAAATCATGCTAGTTGATGAGGGCTGGCCTGTTATAACAGCAAATGTGTAATGAAAGCAAAACCTACCGTGGATCACAAATGTGTAGAGACTATTAGACTAAAAAAACAACTACTTTTACTACATATAATGTAAAATTGATGTGTACACGTCACATACGAATCCTTAGTTGAATTTTCCTGACATTTGTTCATTTGACTTTAAATAAAGTCAGTTAGCAGAAACATTATAGAAAGGGTGTCACGGTTGGTGTAGATGGAGATATTTTGTTTTTAATTAGGGTAAAAAAATTTTTATAAAATGACAAAAGTTTAGACACCCCTGGATTACAGAGAATAAAAAGGGATCTTATAGTACATGCAAGCCATTAAAACTGGGCTCCATCCAGAGGTGGCGTTATAACGCAACTTCTCAGTTGAGATTGTATCGTTGAGCCTAGACACCATTTACCTTTTTTTACCCTCTATATGCAACAAAAGTCATTATGGTCAATTTTAGTTTTATCACATTACAAATTAAGGTCTTAATGCATTATGCACGCTATAACCTTTTTTTATTTTTTTATTTTACATTTGCAATAACAGCTTCTTCGTCTCTGATTGGGTTTTCCAGCCTGTGTTTGTACAGGATTCATGTGCCTGTAAATGACTCATCAGGTTCAGCCAGTATTTTACTTTTGCTCTGGGTTTGAAGCGCATATTTTACTCCAAACCACTTCCCTCTACGGGTCATAAAATCTGACATGAAATAAGTTTTAAACAGGTACCTGACATATTTTTCCCCATTATGTCCATATCTATATTGAAAATGTTTATTGGACCAGTGTTGTATTCTAATATTAAATGTTTTCATTAGCTGCAAGCAGAAAATCATAACAGAAATAAAGGCTTGAAAACAGTGCAATGTATGCTTACATACGAGTTGAGTTACTTAAATAATGAACTTTTCAATAATATTCTAATCCGAGATGCATCTGTATGATTTAAGAAAATCCACAGTAAAATAAGCTGTGAAATTCATTATAGTTGTATATTAAACCAGCCTGAAATGAAAACTTCTTAGATAAAAATCACAAAAAGCACAGAACTGATGCATTCCTGAGAGTGTATGTAAAATTCTGAGCAAAACTTATTTTCAACATTGAAGATAATTGTCATTTATTGAACTGCATATAAATCACCTGTTTCATTCAGAACGTTTCTCCTTGAACAGGACAAACGCAATGTTATAAATGACATTAGCATTGGCTGGTGGCAACAGGCGTGTTTTTTTTTTTTTTTTCCTCCCACCAGTGATAGTACAGTGAAATTTACTACAATAGGAATGTCACTATATACACAGTAAAAAAGAAAAAAGTGGATATTTTGATATCAAAAAACGCTTCTTATTCAAATAACTGTCTTTTCCAATCATTTTAACGCCGTGTTTAGCTGCCACCGCGCTGAGCTTTCACGCAGCTGTGTGGAAGAGGGTGTAAAATCTGTCCATCTGGTACAAAAAAAACCTGATCACTTCTCACATCGACAGCCATTTAAGTGTCCTCTTTGTCTACTGGTTCTTCTTCTTCTTTGCTGGTTTGATAGCAGGAAGCTCCTCTTCCTCAACATCCTCTTCCTCCTCATCTTCGCCTTCCTCCTCATCCTGATCGGAGTCTTCATTCTGTGGGACTGAGAAAGAAAGGTAGAGACAGGATCAGAATTTAATAATGAGCCAACCAGTATTACTATCATTTTCCCAAGCGAATCCATTTCCAGCTACGTTGGCTCTCTGTGTATTTGAGTGAATTTCAAGTAAATAGTAAATAGTTCTAGCCCTAACCCAACATGGGGTGAAAACTAAAACACCGCAAATCACTCAAACACCACTGGTGGGGGGAATTTTTTTAACTGGTGAGAGTTGATGGGGCGAATGGACCAAGTTAAGAAGGCTCTGAAAGACTTTGGACCTGGGTGGAGTTTCACCTTTCAGTAGGATGAAGTCAAAGTTGAAATGGAATGGCTTAGCAGTGTTCAAATGGCCTAGTCAAAGCCTGGAACTAAATCTAACTGAGGAAGAACGTGGGGAAAATGTCCCTCTTTAGAATAAAAAAGAAAGAAAGAAAACAAACCTTAAAACCATGTGACCTTTAAAATTATGTCTTGCTTTGCATTTGTCCAAACAGCATATAAAATCCCAATTCAGCACATTCATATTTGTGTTTGTAACTTGACAAAATGTGAAAGTCTCCAAAGTGTGTGAATGGTTTCAGTAAGCAGACTGTATCAGAGTAAAAGTTACCGATAAGGTGCAGGCCGCTGACAGAAACTGGTCCTGTTCCAGCTTTGAGTCGTAGAGTCACTGGGGCTTTCAGCTCAAACTCTCCCAGACTCACCTAAAAAAATGTAGTAAGAAACAAAAAAAGTAAGTCAACTTCAGGACAGCTTCATCTTTAGAATGTTTGACTATGTGATTAACTCACCATGGGCAGACACTTGATGTGAAGGTTGGCTATGGGTACTGAGATTTTCTTTCCCAGATGGTTAATGGCTATTACCTCCACCACGTTGCTCTCCTCCTTGGCTCCCTCACCAAGGCAAATCTGAGGAAATAATAGTTATCTATCTGCATTTCTGCAACACAAATCTAAATTTAAAAAAAAAATCTACTAATGGGTTTGTAAAGTTGCAACATCGAGGCCAAAGACCTCGACAGACGTGACGTGGGCATAAAAGATTACAGTAAAAACTGAACATACGGTTCTAAGTTCCAGAAAGTGTTCGAGATCCTCTTCTTCATCTCCTTGGAAAGTGTAGAAGGGTACTTTAGAAGACAGCTCGCAGGCTGGAATTAAAATAAAACCATGAAATTTATATACAGCAGCATAACACGAGACATCATAGCATTCAAAAATCCACGTGTGCGCCGTCAGAGCAACATTTGAAACTGATTAAACTATCCTTACTGAACAAAAAGCTCTCCAACTTTGGCTCTGTGGTGCGTTGAAGGACCGAGGATTCCTCTTCAGTGAAAGACATTGTGTAGAAGCGTCAAAAGTTGTCTTAAATCCTAAATTTTTAAGATAAACCAACGCTCTGTGAAAAGGAGAGCGTCGCAAAGCAAGGGCGAAAGAGGTACGTCATATTTATGCGCCAGCTGATCAGATTTTTGTTTTGGTTCTCTTCACCAATCACCGTCAAGGAAATAAAATCACTCGCTAGTGCATTTTCTTTCTGATGTATATTTATTCCGCCTTTCTTTTGGATTTATTTTCGAAAGTGAAATATGTATGAACATCATAAAACAGCAAAAGCTCTTTGGAAAACAAAACAGCGGAAATTACTGGGGGTATATAGTATAACCGTAACAATAGTAAATAAATAAATAATAATAATAACGATAATAATAATAATAATGTTCAGGACAGTGCTTAAAATTCCTAGAAATCAATTTTGTTGCCACTTTTCTGAAATTAGTAACGTATCGTTAAGTAAGCTTGGTGTCAAGCGCCAAAATCTGATTCATTTTAATTCAGTACATTTAAATAATTTCCTCGTAATTTTTTGGGGAAAAAAATGCAAATTCCAAGAATATGAGTTGTACACTCGAAGTAGATATACTAATCTCTTATTGAGGGCACACCACAATAAGGTTTCATTGCTGCATTTGCTAATATCAGACCCTAACATCTAAGTCAGAAAATAATACAAACAAAAATAGTTTCTCAGCCTTTTGAAAAAGAAAAACTAAAAAAGAGAAAAGAGAATATCTGAAAAAAGTTAGATTGCTTTCTAATCAAAATTATCAATATAAAAATAAAACATGCAACTATTCAAGGCGGTATTAAATATTGTAATTCCTTACAACACAAACCTAAGTTTTGGGGTTGTAAAATTGGAATTTAAGCCCTTAAAATATAATTTGGTTATCACATTTCTGTTCAGATTAGGATTTCATCACAATTTAGTTAAAAATGAGAAATAAAAGAAAACCAAAACATTGATTACCTCAGTCTTTTAAAAAAAACTTATTAAAATAAATCTTTATAAAAAATTTTTACTTAAATTTTATTTTGTTGCAATATTTTCAGAATATAAACATGCAATCTTTAACCACAAATCACAAATAAGACACTAAAAAAAATTGACTAAATGTAGCTACAAAATATTTAGGTACGTAAAACTAAGCATCTCTGATCACCCTTTCAGTTTCGAGATGATAGATTGATGATTAAAAAAAAAATAGTGAAACAAAGACACAAACCAGGATCTTTATATGATTTATTAGTGTAATGTTATCTTACATAAAAATTTGTACAGAAATAAACGGTCACTTTAATGACTCCCATCCCCAAACCTGAACCGTCTGGTCTGAGGGATTTCTGCAGCTGGCAAAAAAAAAATAAAATAAAATAAAAATCACAAGCATCAAACTGTAAAATATCCTCTTGGAAGAGTCAAGAAACTAAAAACCAACTTCATTTGGAGAAGAGCAGGTTAACTAGTTTCATTCCTTGTTGACCAGTCGGACGGCTCTGTCTAACAAGGGGTTAACACTCTGCTTTCTTTCCACTAAGACAGAATGGAAGCAATCTTCAAAAATAATATACAAAAACATTTTTATACTTCACGAATGATATTTACAAACCATCTAAGCACAACACTTTTATGCATGTAGTTCAAAGTGGCATGCTTCTTCCTTTATGTAACATCGGAGGCGACTGTAACCAATGTCAGCCACAGCAAACCCAACACACCTCATGCACATTACGAATGTACAGGTTGGAAACGTCACATTGACAGGCAGCTACGAGACAGCAACCGCTGATCTTCATTTAACCAACGGAACTCGCCTGTTATTAGCCAAAGTGCTTCACTAAAAAGGAAAATGAAAAAAAATATACATTTGCAGAAACAAATGGAAATGAGTCGGAACAGGAAACGATCAACATACGGGCAAGAAAAAGGCCGACAGTAATTTAGCTACAGAGTCTTAAAGCTGCAGCTGAAACATGTGGAACCACCAACAGAGGCTCGTCTGAGAATACATTCATTTGAATGAAAATGTGAGAAATCAGAGGTTAATGTAAAGCACTGAGTAAATAACTTAAAAGTGTACAACAAACAGTTTAACTACAGTAGAAGTGAAGTATTTTTAACCAATGCACCTAAACCCAAAGGCTACTGAAACTTAAAATATTTTGGTCCCAATGATGCATTTTAATTTTTTTAAAAAAAAAAAAAAAAAAAAAAGGGTAATCAAATAGATATTCTACTGCAATTAGGAAGAAACTCAATGCACATAGCTTAATAATCTCTAGAAAAGCATAAGCAAATTAAATGTACAAAAAAAAAAAAACATCTGAGAAAAATAATGGAAAGCAAGCCCCAGAAGATGCTACAGACTTTAAAATTATATGAATAATCAAATACAAAGATCTAATGAGTAATTGCTGGAGGGGAGTGATGCAAAGAAAAACAACAAAAAAGTAGCAAACATGTAGAAGCTTTTCTATCGCTTAGCAAATGTTAACAGCTACTTGAGCAAAAATTCAAAGAACCCCTTGGCTAATTTTCATCAACACCCTCTTTGATGTTCAGGTTTTCATCTCCCAGTGTATCATGTAGAAAAAAAAAATTAACACAAAACATTCTTTCAGCACCTCTTTTCCCGTTTGACGTCCAACTCCCTTCTTTATTGTGTAATTACAAAAAAATAGGCTGAAAACAGCAGGCTGAAGGTTGTACAACAGCCCAAGTTAGGAGCCACCTTTTTCTCATAGCTGCAGCTGTTCACAGTCATCTCCTTTTTCAGAGGGATGATGAATGGAGGGATGGATGTAGTGGCAAGTCTTGGGGTCCTACAAGAACAATCCTAGGGGAAACGCTTGATGTTACTACCTGGGAGTGACTAGAGACCTCTTATTGGATGTTACAGCTCTTGATCTGCCAAATCCAGCTACACCCATTAAGGGCGGATCATGGTTTCTCTGTGCGATTCTTGTGCTCGTTTTACACAAAAATCCAAAAATCACAGCACATCCTGGGGTGAGCCTGAATTTAATGGCAGTATAAAAATAACCATAGTTTTATCCAACATGAAGGTACCAAAAACGCTTAAGGTGTGTTGACTCGATCTCGCTCTGTCGCCGTGCGTTTCTTCAAAGGCTGCGTCCCATAATGATGACGTCTTTGGGAAAGCCATCCATTTTGGCCACTTCAAAACATCCCAGCTTGCTGTAGAACTCCAACATTCGTTTATCAGTCTGACGAACTTTACAGAAAGCACCATGGGAACCTAAGAGGAAGAAGAAAAAACTAATCGTGACGACCACAGATTTTGATGATGATAGAAATGTATTTAAACAGATCAAAGATGAGTAAGCAAAGTGGAAGAAATAATGGTTTTCAAAAAATATTAAAAGTGTGGCATGGATTTGTATTCAACCAGTCTGAGTCAGTATTTTGTAGAACCAAAGTGATTTTGGGGAACGTCTCTACCAACTCTGCCCACCTTGAGCCTGAAACTGAATCAGACCGAGTGGCTGAACTTGAGCTATTTGGCCTAAAATTAAGTTTTATAATTACAGACATAACATAACTCAACACACGTGCTGCTCATTTTGACCCTGTGAATTCTTACACTACACTGAAAAACATACAGGCAGGCCAACCTTTGGGATAGCTGCTACTTACCATTGGCCTTAAGAGAAGATAACAGACATCCCATCATGCTTTTGGCCACACTGGGGTCAGTGACTTTGGCATGAATGTCCACCTTGATGAGAGATGGGAAATTGGACAGGAAAGAGTCCGGTAGACCCTCCTCCTCCTCATGAAAACTCAGAATCATCTTCTGCAGAAATGAAAAGTAGACCACCACGCAATATAGTCAATAACAGGAGACACTGTGCTGCAGAATGCCAATCCAGACGAAGCGAGATCGTACCTCGGCATCAGAAAGATCCTTTTCACAGTCTGGTTTGTGGTATTTCTCCTGCATGAAGGGAATCCAGCTCAACTTGCACTTCTTGATGAAAGGCTTCACATCTACAGTGCCGAGAGCGTAACCGCAGATCCCCTCGTCATCTTCCAGCACGAACCCATAGTCCGAGCTCACCGTCAGCAGTCCTCCAACTAGCCTGCAGTCAAATGCTTGGTCACTCACAACTACTTGACTGTAGGTGTCAGTCAAGGAGTTGATGAAAACTTTCGTCTTGATGTTTTACCTGTCCCCAATGAGGTCCGGTTCCCCCTCAGCGAATGGCTCATCTTCCATCCCTTCGCAGTACATTTCCTTACAGATTTTATAAACCGCAGCCTGAAAGAGAAGCAGACACAGCGATCACTGAAGTTTTACGCTCTCAGAGGAAGCCGGCTAATTGCTACTCGAGCTAATGATTATTTCAGTAATCTTTATTCAAGCTATTATTCCGATGACTGAGTAATTAGCTCGCTTAGTCATCTGATTGCCGTTTGTTGGCACATTCTGCAGTTTTTTCATTTGACCGCTTAAGTTTATTTTATGCAATATGAAATGCATTTAAACAATGTGCCTTTTAAATAAAATAAACATTTTATCATCTAAAGCAAAGTATTTTTTGTACAGTTTTGTCTTAATGACTACTCTGAGGGTGTTGTTCTTCCAGTCAATGGCATGTTTTAGAGTCTGAATGCTCCAGTTAATGATTATTTGATTACTAAACTAGTTATTTTTCCAATAATCAATTAGCTGTAAAAATAAGGAAATCAAATTCCACCGTTATCCAAACTGTTCGGCACCCTGAAGTCATCTGTTAATTTTTTTTTCCAACAATTGATTAGTTTTGACCAATCGTTCCCATTTCACCAGGACAGCAGTAGCTTACAGATTGCTGAGCAAATCGCTACAGAAATGTGGCACACCAAAGTACGGCTTCAATCAAAGGGACATTACCTCGTCTTTGGGATAGTAGGGCCTTATGGTATAGATTTTGGAGGTTGGCAAAGAAGGTGGAGGCTGGTAGAAAAGATCGTTTGCCCCATCTATTGGCAACAATCTCTGTGGGTATCAAAACAAAGAGGTTCAGTCTAACAGAGAACAGGCAGTCTGTTGCTTCGGCTGACTGCCTAACTGTGTATTTGCCAAGTCGTGCCACTGTCAGCCCAAAACGTACCATAAAAGAAAGCGAAGGACTTTGAAAGTTAAGATTAATCAATGACCCAGAGTTCCTTGTTGGTCTGACAGTGGACAACTAGAGCAAACACCAAATTTTTTTTTTTTTCTAACTTTTTCCTTGGCGCAGAGAAAAACACGTGTTTGCAAACACAGTGAAGTGAGGGTTTCGTTTTGGTCTGACTAAGGCTTTACTGGCTGAAGGAGATGCTCCTTTCCCTTTGGTAAGGCATCGCAATATTACGCTTGCGCAGGGCCCTCCTGTTGAGAAAAATAATGATGCTGGCGCAGAAATGCGGAGAACTCCAAGAAAAAAATACCAGAGGGGTGGAAATCAAATAAGAGTCCTTTTGCTCGACGGCATACCAAATGGAAGTGGTGTTTTAGAGAGGAGGCTGGTGTGTTTAATCTTGGAGTTCTCCCTTTGCACAGATGCTTGCGTACTCGCTTGCGCTGCGATGCTTTGTGCGCGTGCGCTTGCAAACACAGGGGTGTTTTTTTTATCTATAATTTTTTTTGCGCTGTGCTTTCCTGCAAAGAAACGTCATGTCATGAAAATAAAACCTAGCCATGCTCGCTTGCGCCGCTTGCGCCAGGGAAAAACAGCATCTCCTTTGGCAGCTGCTGAAAGAAACTAAGAGACGTCAACCACAAAACGCCACGTCAAAAACAATTTGAACGGCTTTAGGTTCTTTTATGAAAACGGGGGAAAATTGCCATTCCACCCGTAGAGTTTGACAACACTCCAAAGTCAAAAACCTGGATGTTACAGGATTAGTTTGTTACAATCAGCTCACCTTTGACAGACCAAACCTCATCATACCTGCGCACATTTACCATCGTCTTCCACAGCACTGTTTTTTTTTTTTTTTTTTTTTTGCCTTTTTTTCGGGGCTTTAGAACCCTGGAACTCTCCTGCTAGACCTCCCCTAAAGGCCCAGGACTCTTGTTCTCCTTTAGGGAATTGTGCTGAGGACTGACTACGACACCCTGTTAGGAGCAGAGCCAAGCGGACATTGTTACCACAGGATGGGGCTCTGATACAGATGAAAGGAGTGGGGAATGAAGGGGGTAATATGTAATATAAATTATAATATTTTTTTAATCATTAAAACATAAAATGGAATAAATTAGTGGTGCATAAAAATACTTCAATGACGTGATGGGGCTCAGGCATCTAAATCTCATGTTTGTGGAATTATGGTGAAAACTCAAATGCAAGATTATGTGTTTAGCAATAAAATTAACCAGCTACAAATCTCAGTCTGCAGGTTATCTTAATCTCCTCCAACCTTTGTTGTGTGAAAAGGAAAGGTACTCCTCCTGCTGATGGAACAATGCTGACCAACAGTGGGATAAACTATTCTGTCTAAGGCTCACAACAGAAAGCTTTAGCTGCCATCACCCCACTGATCTTAGCACCCCGTGTGAAGTCACATTCTCGTTTTATCTGCCTTGTCACATGACGGGGGGAGGGAGAGGGAGGCACGAGTCATTAAAAACCAGGAAGACTGAAGTCAGCACACTCCCAGACTTAAAGGGCCTCTCAGTTTGATATTAAAAGCCACAGATAAAACAACTCAGTCAAAAAAAAAAAGAAGAGGAAAACAAAAAAAGAAGACGATAAAAATAAAAAATAACTACGAGGTCAAAACACAGTAGAGAAAACGTATGTCTAAAGCACGCACGGCTCTTTGACAGATTGAATAAAACGGCAGCTAACGAAGTCTGAACCTGGTTGACAAGAAGCCCTGTCATGTGACCAGCCAAATGCAGCGCGCGTGCAGGACGCCTAACCCTGCTTTACACGTGAACCTCACACTGATCAAAACAATGTCCTGGGAAGAGCTGACAGCACAGCATGCAGATGCACCCGCAAGAAGGAACTCTGAACTGAACATTACTTATTTGTTTTTAAGAAAAAAATAAAATAAAATAAAGCTCAATCTCTGTGGATTTACCTCCACCTGGATCAGCTGGATGTAAACAAGAAGCAGGAGTGGCTGCTTGTTTTTAATCCAGCTGCTGTGGATGTGAGCTTATGCATTTGATGTTGAGGCCAAAACTCAAGTTCCTCTGGGCAGGTGCATCAGGCTGGTCTGAGAGTTTATTTAGGCCTACTGACAGAAACAAAAAACAAGTTAGGAAGATGCCGCTAAAGAGAGAAATTTTTGAAGTTAACCACTGGAATTCAAGCTTAAAAATCGCTGCGCAGGATGTGACTTCATCCGGAGGGTTGTTTCCTTTCCTCCAATTCAATCGTTTTACATAAATTTGGTTTGAGAAATTTTTTTTTTTTTTTTTAATTACATAGATCAAATTCAAACATGAACAAAGGAAAGAGACAACGCCTGCATTGTGCATACATCGGCCACTGTCGATCCAATAGCAGTAGAAACTTGTACTGTGGATTCTTCCATCTGTACATAGTGAAGGGAGAAAACAGTAGAAAATAGTTATTAGTAGGTGTTCTTAGTACAACATTTAGGGAGATTGCGACTAAGTGCCGGCTGCAAGGCTTTAACGAAGGGAAATTCATGTGAACTGATGAGACAACTTGTGTATGGTCACAAACAAACAGCGTTAAGAAACTGCGCAACACGGCAGCAGATAAAAATGTAATTAAAATACGGAGACCGATTTTCTCAGCGTCTCTGGCTTATGGAAAAATATGTCCATTTTAGGTAAAGTCAGACGTGTAGCGCGTGAAGTGAAGCCTTTTTCCAGAGCAGGTTTTGCTGCCTGCTGTGTTCTGTTGGCCGAGATCCCAGCTTTACAAAGTAGCTGAACGGGGAAGAAACCTGTGAATGAAACTGGGTTACAGGAAGTAACCTACAGGCCATGCTGGTGCTTCAGGGTAATCAATGCAACTCTGAAAGAATGAGACATCGTTCCAATAGTGGATGCCACTCAAACTGTATCCAGTGTTTAAGCGCACACAAGTGCGAAGAGGAGACCACCTCCTTTCTTTTAAGGGTAGACAATAAAGATCAGGCATGAGGCGGTTTGTTGCTACGACGGCTTTTCAGTGCTGCGAAAAATTATAGCCTGTATACTCAGATTTCTCCCAGAGCAATGCAGTGCCGACCCTCCCCCACCTATTCCTGATATCACCAGCTGGGCTAGAGAACTACAAAACCTCTCGCTCATTTACAGGAAAGACAAACTCATCTGCTTGGAAATATTTCTAATTTAAAAAAAAAAAAAAAGCGTGGACAGTGAATGTGTTCAACTAAAGGAGGACCTTTAGTTTTCATTAAAATGCCACTGATTAAGAACTACATTTGGCAAGCTACAAGCAGCATTTCTTCTCCACCTAAGCAGATTATTAATTATATAGCTAATTTGTGTTGTACTAGTGCTATTCCACAAATAAAAAAAACCCAAACAAAAGCAAAACCAAACATTTCAGGTTAGTAAACATCTACGTTATACTACTTTTAGCTGGTGTTCTGATTTTACAGATATTCTAACAATAGGTTACATTTTTTTTTTTTTTAGCAGGACTGATTATTGATTTTCTGCATTTTAATGCAAGTTTCAGTATTTTTACTGCGAGCATCTCATACCGGCCCATGCCTAATACAGACTGCGGTAACAAATCAGGTGACAATCATCATCCATCTAGCGGCCTCGTCTCTGAGGCAATTTTGCAAAAATATTTTCAGCAATGTTTCAAATACTTTCAGCTAAAACACTTCAGATATGTTTGAGTTTATTTTTCTCTATGCACCAGAATGGCCTTCAACAGTGAGTCAGTCAACTTGCTCTCCAAGCTCGCGTGCGCGCCAGGGCATGAAACAAGGCAGGGTGGGGGGGGATAGGGATTTCCCCTATGCCCGTCCCCACAGACAGAAATGGAGGCAAGTGTGTCTGAGTGGGAATGTAGCAGTGATGTTACTGGACACACAGCAAGCAGCAGTAACCCTGGAGTGGCATTATCTATGCTGGATATCGGAAATGTTGGACCTTTTTGTTGGATAAACAGGGAGGCTGCTAGCAGTGCAAGCGGCATTCAGTCTGACGTAAAAACATGTAAATTACAGAAAGCAATCAACATGTGTGCAAAAGGAGGCATTTCCTTGATGCATTCTGCTTCGTCTGTGCAAAACTGATCTATGATTGCTTATAGTACTAACTTCAGATTATTGTCATGAACACATGTTTTGTGAAGATGCTAAAATGTTAACATTTAAATAAACCTCACTTATTAAATCTATGCACCTAATCAATAACTGATCTCTTTGCTCCATTAAATCTAATTTTCTGAAAGTTTCTTTTAACAAATATGTGTTTGTGTATACATATTAGACGCCAAGCTACTTTTTTTTTTTTTTTTTTGCCAAGACGAAGAGGCCCCAAAGCTCCTCAATACGTACCGAGCCACAGGACAAAAGACTTGACCATAGACATGATGCTCTTGATGTCCCAGATGTAGGGGTAGAGGTCAAACAGGATGGTGCGGTTGGCTGTGTTGGACAGCCGTGTGAACATGTGGATGACGGAGCAGCACATGTCTTGAAACTTCTCCGCCCGCAGCTGCCATTCAGCCACCTGAACGTAAAGATCCGGAAAGATAATAAATACTTGTTGTTGAGCATAAGGGGTTCATTGATGCTCGATCTGGGATGTGAAATCGCAGCTCAATTAATTGGCCCCTCTTCCTTAGGCAGCTGTTAAATACCAATAGGTTTTATGAACAGAATCAATCTGCCTGCTTTGATCTGGAGATGAATTAAACCGGCTTGTCTTTTGTTATTTTTTTATTTTTTTTGTGTGTGTTTGAACTCAACTGTACTGAATTCATTTTGTGAAAACTACAGCATAAATCTTAAGATTTCTTGTTTCAACTTTTTCCACAGAAAAAATATGATTTTGGTTTAATATACGAGAGTGAAACCTGTCTTCAAATGTAGCTTAAATAATTAAAGGGTTGATGGAACATCGTTCTGTTGTTTATACCTGTGTTTTTCCACTGTAACGAAATGTCATTACACAAAAGTAACAGGTGACTTCATATGAGGGGAGCCGTTTGAACAAACAAGAATGGCTCAACACTGTGCAAGCATCCAGTTTACCATCACACCAACACCACCCAATGGACACTGAGGGTAGTACACATCCGCCATTTTGTTTTCAACTCCATTACCAGCTGGTTTAGTTAATAATGCACCGCAGCTCTCACACAGACGTCTCTCTCTTCAGAAAAAGCCTCACCTTTTCACTTTCTTTTCTCTTGCAGTTGACGCTGACGACGCTGCTGTTGGCTCTCAGCCAGTTGAACTCCTTTAACATCTGTGTGGCTTTAGGTCCGTGTTCGTAAGGCAGGTAGAAGAGCTCAGCCAGGAGACACAGGTCCTCCAGCGTCGGAGGCTCTGGTGTGAACAGAGGCTTCTCGTCGGGGCCGGGCACATACAGATCCTGATGATTTAAAAACACACACACACACAAAAAAAAAGCAAAATCTGAATTTAGAGGTTTATTCTATAATACTTTTGTCTTAAGCTTCAAATATAAAGAATCTTAGTACCTGTTTGAGTTGATCATCCGTCTGCATAGGAGCAATATCGCTCCCAGAATCCTCCTGGATCGACTCTTCTGGGGACTTGGACTCTGCCAGACTCTCCTTGTCTGTATCCATGGGCTTGAGGTCCTCGGCCATTTTGTCAGCCAAGATGGGAGCGACGTCTTTCTCTTCCGGGTCGGCTTCTGCCTCTGGCTCGTCCAGCTTCTCCACCACCATCTCCATTGGCTCCTCATCTGAATCCTTCTTTTCCACGTCCACCTGCATTGGCACAGTAAATTATATATATATATATATATATATTTTTTGAAAAGCAACTGAAAACAGTTTTAATGAGACGGGTGCAGGGATGAGAAATGATACAGTATTATTTCATAATACAAACAACTCTGTTCATCATCTGTTCACATGAATAATTGTTAGATTTAACTATACAACTATTTAAATCTCACCTCTTCTACCTCTTCAGCCGTTTTTACCAGGGCATGTGGGAGGGGATCGAGGAGGAGGGGGGGCATTGCAGGGGACATGATGGGCTGCTGGAAAACAGTAGTGACTGACGTGGAGGAGCAAAGGGACGGAGCTGTCATGGAAGATACATCAATGGCCGTGCTTTTGGCACCACTCTGAGGCACCTGTCGGCCTGAAGGAGCACAGGGTTAATCCACTGGGTTTTCACTTAAAAAAAAAAGGCGCCTAAAATATTCATTGGGATTGCTCTTACTGTTGTATTGGAGAGGCACACTGAATTCTGCAAGCCACTCTGTCAGAGCGAGCTTTAAAGCGAGCTGTGGGCTGTAGAGCATGTCCGTCTCCAGCTCCTCATCGCTGCCTTCGTTCTCAAGCTTGATCTGGATGGACACAGTGCTGTCCTCGCCGTCAGCTGGTCCAGAGAGACGCAAATTAATAACTTACAAGCATTATTATGCTGCATTATCACCATTTCGTATTGGTAAAGAGTTCGCACAGAAGTTTTATTTAACTTCAAAACAATTCCCATGTGTGAGGAAAAGACAAAAAAGGTTTTCATTTTCTGTGGACCTGTCTGAGAGATAATGAAAGCGGGAGGATGGGAGACCCTAAGCAAACTTCAGATTATTCAAAGCAAATTTCTTCTACTTCCAAAATACCTCAAGTAGAAATCATTTTTAGGATCTAAACCAAACCTGTTTAAGAGCAACGGTTACCAGGGCCTTAGGTGTCCAAATTAGCATGTTTTCTTTGGCACATTTAATAGGATTACCTAATCCTGTTTTGCAGACTTCAGAATAATTCTAGAAAAATTCTAAGCATTTGTACACTCATCCAAACTTGTAAAATAGAGAGAAATGTAACCTTTTCAAAGCTGCATAGCATCTCTCAGTGTAATGTTTTTCATGCTGAGATTGCTGCTTTGGCTCATACTTACTCATGACCACATCTTTGCGAACCCCGTTCATGTTAGACTTGTACCAGGTGGCCAAAGTGTGAATGGCGACAAAATTGGATTCGAACTCGCAGTTGGGGTTGGTGAGGACTCCCTTCAGCCGGGGGATGAGCTCAGTGGAGCGGCCCTTGTACGGACCTAAAAACAGCCTCTTCTGGTCGTAGTCATTGGCATGAAAATTGTCCCAAATAACAGGGGCTCTTCTCAGGATCTTTGACACCTCTTCAATGGACTCCACTGGGATGTCTTTAGAAACCACTTTGGGCCCTGCGGATAGTACAGCATATTAAAAATAGTCAATATTATTCCGCAGCTATAACACCAATGAGATTTAGCTGAACCAATGGAATGATGCTCATATGAAAGGACACTTTTACACTCACCTGTCCACAGCACATCAATGCTAGGCAGGAGTTTCTCTCCAACTGTGCGGAGGTAAGGGGATTGCGAGACACTTGGGTAGCAGAATGTTCCACAGTACTCTGCGTTTCAGCAAAGAAGAAAATAATTCAATGAATGACAATACAGGCATTGAGAACTGTGTAAAATTGGGAAGAAAGATGGAGTACCTGTGGGGCAAAACAAGAAGGTTTCAGGCTCTCCCAGGTACTGGTAGATTTCATTAGTTATAGAAACCTGAGCATGAGCAAAAGAGCTGAATACTTCTTTGTCAGCAGGGCACATGTTGTGGTCAATATCGTCAAAAAGTAAGGCAAAGGATTTGCAGCCAAAATGAGTAACCTGAGCGGGGGGGAAAGAAAAGATGGCAGGGAATTAAAAACAAAGAAGTGAATTTGTAGTACATTAGGAATGTGCCCATGATTAAGGTTTTATTCCAGTGTTAAAATGTTTCAATACCTGATCAAGTTTTCTTTTAAGTGCAGAAACCTCTTTCTGATTAGAGAAAGTTATGTCTAATCCAGGGGAAATGGCATATATAAACTCTATCCCATGCTCCTTGGCGGCACTAACTAAAGTCATGAGTTGTTCTGCAAAACGGATGAGATAAAAAAAGAAAAAATACACACAATTAACAACTATGATTCGTGTTTCTTAAGCACCACATCTTATGGAGAAATTTAGTCAAAAATATTCACCTGCTTCTTCCACTGAATACAGTTCTCTCCAGAACATTCTGTGCTTGTAGTCGTCTTTGGGTGCATAAAGATACGTGTTCAGCCCCCACTTCTGTTGCCTGTGTAATTTGGTAATGTAGAACAGTCATTGTCATAATCCAAAATAACCTGATATTATTTTATTGACACCTTTAATTAGAAGAATGCACATTACCTTCTGAACAGCTCTTTTCTCTGTTCCATAGTCCATGGACGCCCGTAAAAGCCTACATAGAGAAAACGTATAATGAATTTCAATGCAGTCTTCTTTCCATTCCAAGTCACATTAGCAGCATATTTTGACTTCCAAGGCTACCATATTAAAGAACCTACCCCTCAGATATGAATTATAGCTGGAAAGGACATTAAAGCTGCATGCACACATGCTAATTTTGGATTCCCATTTGATCGTATTTTACTAGACTATTTTACAACCTTTTGGCATTCTCAAATCTATAATATCTTGAAATGATAAGTCTGGACTGGACTACCTAAATTAATGTAGAGGCAAAAAAAGAGGTCAAGGGCAAAACCAATCTTTAGATGATCTGTGATCATCTAAAAGCCAAAAAAAGCTGTCCAAATGCCCCCATTTTATGAGTTGGGGAGAGGAAGAGGGGGGCGACATAAGCTTTCATGGGCCAAATGAAAGACAAAGGAGCAAACCTGAATGCAACTCGACCTACAATATCTCTCATTTCCCATGAATCACGATTTTATCTTGTAGATGATAAATGATTAAATTTGGAATATCTGTCTTTTTTACTGCATTCTTTTTTTTCAATAAGCGATCAATTTAGATTCCAGAGCTTTCCAGACTGAGCTGAAACCCTGCATGGTGAGGATGCATTTGGTGCAAGCAAAGAAAAAAAAAAAAAAACATTCAACACACTGTACGTTACTGTCACATTCACAGTCTCGCCAAAATGTAATCCACCTGCCTCCGGGAACACATCATTGTTATAATGATAAATTACAAAGAGCATCTTATCACTGCAGCATTTCTACGTTCAATCTCTCACCGTTTACAGATAATTAAAAAAAATCAATTTAATATAGAGTGAATTTTTATATTTAGTCATTACCTTCAACTACACCACTAATGAATTTTCTGTGGCCCGTCGTTTCCACTACGATGCTGGAGTCCGCCACTGGGCCCGGGGCCTCCACACAAGCCTCTCCAGAGACTGGGCTGGGGCTCGGCTCAACATCTAACGGAGGAGTGTCTAAAGTCTTGTCCTTTTGAACCATCGTACAAGGGTTTCCTTGACACAATCACAAAATCCGGAGGAAAAAAACAAAACAAAAAACAGGCGGCAAACCAAATGCAGGTTTTTTTTTAGTTTTTTTTTTTAGCACAAACAAGCACCCCAAAGGAAATACACCGCGTCACTCTCCGTGTAACGTCGGCAAAGCTCACGGTGTTAGCGATTATATTCTTCAGTAAAATTCAAAACTTGCTTTCGCAAAATGTTCTAAAACTGTTATCAGGCCACAAAGAATACTATGCATGTGGACAAATTCATAAAGTAAGAAAAACCGTCGTCCGTCTGTATCCGACCATCCTCTTCGCTTTATGATCAAATTTAACCTACTTTTCCTTGGTTCTTCCTGTTTACACCGAGTGCGCATGCTCACGAGACTAGCTCAAACCAGTCAGAACCGGATCTAGGTGACAAAACAGAGCAAAGCTTTCAGGAGAGCACCTTCTCTGCAGACGCCATTGTAACTGAAGACCACCATTTCTTTCTACATATTTACATAATTAGATTTAAAAGATAGATAAAATATATATGCTTTAGATATCCAATATAAATATATATATAATTTGTTATATTTTTGCAATAAGTTACTCAGATGTTGATGGGAAAAAAATGTTAATTGTATTAATCAAAAACTAAAGCTAGACTGAATAAGAGAGTAGGGTTACTCAAAATGTTTCAATATGCCATCTGTTTGAAATGCTTTAATTTGTCCATATGTTCAGTGACTGTATCTCCACAGCTTTTTACAGATACCCCTTACATTCACATTTTAAATGTACTTTGGTAATAAAATAATTGCAGACTTATACTCTTGGGCAGGTGGAAAAAGCAACATTGCTTTTTTTCACCTGCCTTATGATTTTTAAAATAAGCCTATAGTCCAACACAAATAAAACATAGGTGCTAGTGTATAAAATAAACATTTTTAACAACAATTCCCAACCAATCTTCAGATCTTCTGTTGGTACGTTTTGTGGAGTCAACATTACCTAATGCCACATGGACTGAGTTGCTAGCATGTCATAGTAAAAACAAGTTGAGTTTGACTGGTCTTACAGCCTAGTAACTTAAGCTTATTTGTAAAAAAAAAAACATTCAACACAGTGTACATTAATGTCACATTCACAGTCTCGCTAAAATGTAACCCACCTGCCTCCTGGTACACATCATTGTTATAATGAAAACTTATAGATGAGATGTGCTTTGTAGCACTTCTCAGCTACAAAGCAGTTCAAAGTGCTTTACATAATAAAATGTAGTTAAAAAAAGACACACACTACTATGGCAGAAAAAGAGAATGAAAAGTTGTAATCTAGACCAGGGGTGTCAAACTCAATTTCACCGTGGGCCACTCACCCCAAGAGATGCATAACCTACAAAAACCATTTCTGTCTGGTTTCAAACCAGAGACCTTTTGCATGTAAAGCAAATGTGATAACCACTACACTACAGGAACTGAACTTCTCTGCTTTGATTCAGTTTGAG